GTATGCACTCTTCTCAGAAGGGTTGTAGTGCAACAGCGAACCACTATCGGAAGGTAAAATGGCTCCTTTATTAATATCTAGTACGAATCACGGTACATTTTTCGTTTGAAATCATCAGTTTTGACATCATCACGTGCAAGAAATTGCATTTTTAAGCTGCTTACAATTGAGGTAATCCATGATATAAGGCCCACGTCACTTTCCACTTCGTACTATCGCATACACTATTCGCGCTAGTGATATTCTCGATACTTCTTCTCTCCTCCGTCACCCTAAAGTACTTAGAATTAATATATTTTGCAAGCCTGCGCAAACATAAGGTCGAACATCGAACGTTTTCGGCATATCCGCCGCAATCGCTTTACTTGTTTATCTATCACCTTTTCAACTTATCATCAACTATATTATATATACTATAACTACGCTTCGACATATATGTATCACGATACGGATTAGTATGTCTAACACACACGACATTTCGCTTTACACTAAGTATTTAAACATTACACGTTCAACCCAGTCTATAACAAACGTTAAAACCATGGTAGTGTAAAGGTCGGACGATGAGAAAGAAATCGAAGATGTGGTGGTGACCATCAAGAAATATGACAAATTATTGAAATGTTGAACAGAATGATGAGAAATTGCAAATAAGTCGTCGCGGAAATTGAGTTATGATCCAGCAAAAAGTTCAAGGAACAAAAATTATCAATTGAGGGATATAAAGAGTAGGACTGGGCATTTTTGCGTTAATAAGTTTTGGCGATTTCTTAAATGATATCTCACGAGTTTAGCAATGGTTACGTTTCCACCGAATCCGAACTGTTCGACTTGTAAACAGTCGGATACTCTGGAAAAGCGATGAAATTTTTTCCACTAATGCGAAGCTGTCACGCGAATGACTTGTCGATGCAAAATCGATTAATTAAGAAATTTAACTTCCAATAAATCGATTCTATTCCAAACCAAATTACTCAAAACAAAACCTAAAAATATGGCCGGATTTAACTTTTAAATCAGATTGAAGTTTATTGGATTATAACCGATCTCAATATAGAAACATTAAGCAAATTTTTATCCATCTGCGCGTCCGTACCTCGAGTACAATAAATATTTATATCACAGCGCAAAAAAATATATACATCCATAGAAAAAGAAAAATTGAACGAAGAGCAATGCATAAAAAAAAACTCAAGTGGGAATGCAAATTTATTTCAAGAACATCAAACATGTCAGAGTTATCGTCTCCTCGCTACGTGCAGATAATTATTCTATTCTATATCGTGGATTATTCGTGTACAAAAGATCGAAATGTAAGTACATCTTATTCCTTTAATCGAATCGCGCTATGCATAATTCTTTTGCCTTTGTTAAAACATATATGCATGACGTGACTGAAGAGTGATCTTACGTATTACATATTTTTTTGGCACCTTGTTATATTTTCATATATTATGATCGTTCAAGAAATGGCCAGAAAGACTGTTATTTTCAGAGATACACAAACGACATAAAAATGTTTTAATTATATAGTCCTACTTATTATGTTCTCATTGAAATAGAGAAGCCAGGTGAATTATAACCGAATCTGAGAAAAAAGCAAATAATGTGAAAGATATATGACGACAGGTCGATATACATTTTGCCGCCGAATTCCCATAGACTGAAGTGAAAAATCTATCTTAAGCATAACAAAAGATATGGAGGAAACGACTTCGAAGTACATGTACCGAGGGCGACTGAGAAAAAGAGAATTGTATCTTTTACGCTTTTTTATTAACACTCTGTGTAACACGCGAAAACGCTAGAAACGATCCTATGGTATTTAACGGTAGAAGGGAAAGGGGAGGCTCTGCTAAATATTCTCACGGTAACGGACTTCGAAGTATCCATGCTTATAATATATACCATCATTTTAACGTAATACTTAAACCGGGAAACACTCTGTATCTTATATACAATGTATACAGGCTACGACATACAAATATTAATCTAATCCTTGTGCTACTCGATACTTCCGCATAATAATATACCAATATAACCATTTACTCACATGTTGCGTGTACATATATATGTATATGTATATGCATATATGTATACATATATATATGTATATATACACATATACATATAAATATAAACATATACAATATACATATAGTAGACTATTTTATACTCGCTCCGTGTTACTAATCTCTACGGTATCCCCTCTCTTCCGCGTGCGCGGTAGAAGACTATTGTAATTACGAAAAATCGGCAACACCTTCGATCCAAATGTAACGCTTAAAATGTAAAAATATTTCCGGGATATATCTGTCACGATTGCAAAAGGAAGGTGTGGGAAATGGGGCACGGATGAGGTGGGAATGGGATTAATCTTGGAGGGGGGGGGGAGTGTAGGTAAATTCTTTAATAATGATACTGTTTTCTCTTTCTCTCTCTCACTTTCTCTCCATCTCACGCCAAATGTACACATAAAAAAGAAACATACTGTCGGCTCTCAACGGCAATCTCACGATATCCTGATATCTGCGGTATTCCACCGATCGTTTATCATATGCGAGGGAACGTCACTAATTGTAAAGCGTCACTCACACTCGGAAAGTTTTCCGAAAGAGAGTCTTCGTAACGCTATGTCGGTTGCGATATGTACATAAGTTTGCGAGTTTATGTATGGTCCAGCATTAGCTGGCGTTGTCGTCGCGACTAGAACTCGTAAGAAACAAAGAACTAAAAATGTTAGAGAACATGGAAACAGATTGAGCCGCTTTCTTCCATTTTTCTAAAGGAAGTTAAGTCCTTACTACCATATCAATCACTCGACGCTGTTATCCCCGACAAACAGCAATTTCGTTCGGTTGGCTCTCTGCAGTGAATCGTGCTATAACGACAGATACTTTCCGCCGATTAACTTTCCGAACACAAGCGACGCTCAACGCTAAACTTGGTTTAAACACAACATGGATCGTTCGTCCTTTTTTATTTTTTTCTTTTTCTTTTTTTCTTTTTTTTAGATTAACGGCGCACACTCTCCGAGTGTACCGAGCAAATTCGCGCGTGAATTTGACTCGTGTTTTTATATTATTGTTAACAACAGCAGACTATCAGGTATAACGTAACAGTATTTCCTTTCTCTCCCCGATGTTGGGTACACCGGTCGCACTTCGGCGCGTGAATATTTCCAAGGAATCGCCTTGACTTTATCAATACAAAAGTGCCGTCAAAAATATCTCTCCCTTACCAGACTTTTTAGTAATAATCAGGAGTCGCGCGAATAGGAAATTCGTGTGTTACTCAGATAATCACGAGCAACGCTAACCAAAAGCGTAACTAACAAGGGAAGGTAGGGATGGGCAAAATCGATCAATCGTATCGACAAACTATTTTTTAATTTTTTAATTCTTCTTAATTAGACAGATGCTTAATTAGACAGATTATTTTTCTCAATTGTGCTAGTACTGGGATATTGACGTTCCACAGAATCGTTAAATTTCTCCAAGCAAGATAGCCTATATTCCTTTCTCACTTGAAGAAATTTGACGAAATCCTTATAGCCAATCTCTGATTAAAGGGTCTCTACACAGAACTAACTCCACATACTGAATGAATTATCGTACAGTCAATAGTTGAATAGCAACTTAAAAGTAATTGAATTAATACGTTAAATCTAGTATGGTATGTACATACCATATGTATTTAGTCGCTGCTCAACTACTGTTCCAATTGAATGAAATTCTAAAATTCATGAGTACAAAATATTTGCATAAAAGTTATGAACATTTAGTTATTTTTTTTTATCCTATTCATCTTTCGATTCCTTTATTTTATTCCTTATACTTTCAAATCAGATATTTTTTTTACACCTTTTAAATTTTTGCATGTTTCACGTATAATAATTAAAGTGACTGGTTGTCCATGACAACCAGTAAAACTGATTAGCTAATTAATGCCCATCCCTACCAGAGTATCGCTTGTCTCCTACGAACTATCTCGAAACGTTTCGCTCTTGTTTGAAGAGACGCGCTTTGATAGTAACAGAGTTATTATTTTGCCCGTTTCTTCGCATTCTCGAAGCATCCTACATCACAAACATCAATGTTGGAAACTACTGTAATATTTTGAATTTTCCACCAGATTCGAGTTCTTTACGAATCTGGCGTTATTTTCATAATTGCACGTATACATCGAAATTAATCACGTACTTTCGTGGAAAATGGCAAAAGAAAACTCGGATGTAAAACCAAAATAATCTGTAGCCGAAGTTAACTCCTAAAATCCAGTAAAATCGGATTGTCCCTAAAAGTGATCGCTTGTACGCAGCTATAGCTTGTAAACAAGGTCGTTCCGATAGAGTTACGTTCAGTTTCAAAACTTTGTTAGCAAAATAATTTTAAAAGCCACATTGGACGTAGATCTCGATACAATGGCAAAGACTAATTTATTTCTAACATCTTTTTAAATACGACCACAACAAACGTATGTTTAAGTAACGATTCCTGAAATTATTTCATAAAAATAATTAATATTAAAAAATAGAAAATTTAATTTTTTAATTCTTTAATTCTTTTAAGTTTTGGAAAATACATAAAAACATTACATCTATGTACTTTTAAATATCTGAACCGTTAAATCAAAATGTTCATATTGAAAAATTAAATATAATCTACTTTTAAACAGAGATAAAAATGACATTTGGATTCAGAACTTTAAATGGAATAAACATTTTTTAAAAACTATAACAATCTGGAATGTCACAGCTAAAATATACAAATTTAAAATAGTGCTGAAAAGTTTAATTAAAATAGTGCTGAAATTTGCTTACATTTTTGCATTTATACAAATCAAGATGACCAAGTGTTTCAAAATGTATATCTATTATCAAATTAAAATCGCTTTAGAAACCGCTGTTTAAAACAATAAAATTGAGAAAATAATTTAAAATCTTCCTAATTTATTTATGGACATAATTTTGATCGTAATTTTTTAAAAGATGATCGTGCTTAAAAATATGTCATTAGGAAATTTCATTGGAGTATCCTCGGGAAGGAGCAAACTTCCAAGAAATTTTTCGTACATGTAATTTTGAGGCTACAGATGCTAAAGTGCGAGCAAATTATATTTAAATAAAGCAGACGTGCAGATTCGTTTGTCGTCGTTTATTATAGCATGTTTGTACGAAATTTTTAACTCCTATAACGATCAAAGTTTGGTTATATAAACAATAAGTCTTCGCGATATCGACAGATCCTGGTTCACGCAATATATCTTAATACATAATAATAACGTTTAATAGAAATATAAACGTCTTGAATGCAATTTGTAACCCCGCCATTACGCTGACGTGGTATTCATTGTTTAAGAAAGCTCGCCGGCTTTACAGTTCAGGTTCCATTCTCTTGAGATAATCTCTTGTAATTAGACAGTTGAAGGAGCAAGTAAAAGAAAGCGATACGTAATGTGTCGATCATTGTTTTATCGCCTTTAACCTCAAGTCAATTGTCGCAGTAGCAAAATTTCGTGCTGTACGCAGATTCTCGATCCATGACCAATTTTCAACAAGAACTATTACATTGCTAAACTGATATCACTGTCGTAATAACGCGAATTTTTATCCACAAAAATATCACTCTTCCTTTGTAGAAGAATGCGATGCATATCTCATTCATCTGCTTGCTCCTTTGATTTTAATATTCCCAGTTCCGACGTGTTTTCGAGCGCGCGTAGACTCAAACAATATAAAAGCCCGGCAAAACGCCTACGGGACGATTTAAACGCGACGTTCTATCAAACATTCGCGCAAAACTGACGAGCAAAATGCTCGGGTCGTTCGTCCTGGAACGAACGATCAATTTTACCTGCGGTATAATATCGCAGATCCCGTGTCAAACACCGCACCGGGCGGTAATGAGGCGGACACGGATAAGAAAATGGGAGGAAGGGATGGAGAAGAAGAGGTTGAGAAAATAAGAGGAATGGCACCTGATGTGCCTGGAGAGGCTGCCCGGAAGACTGAGTCTTCAGCCCGTAACCATTTGCTGTGTCCCTCCTCTTGCGGATGCGGCCGCCGTCGATGCGACTATTAATTTCTGCAAGATCTCAACATATCTCGTCACTCTTATCGCCTAATGTCCTAGCCGATCGCATCGAAACACGCGTTTAGAACGCTCGATCGCACGCTCGAAACGCTTGACAGATTCACCATTATACTAGTAATAATGACAATTCATCACGTACGTTGCTCGTTAATACACAATGATAGCTCAACAACAGGCGATAATGAGAACGTCTCGGATTTCTAATCGTGATTAACACGTAATCGGCACTGCTCCCCGACGACCAGCGTCGCTAAGAGCACTCCGCGCGATGCGAAGGAGGATGTTGTACAGTCGTCGATGGGTACGGGTACTCTCGTCGAGATCGGTTGCGATCGGGTGAAGGATATCGAGCAAAAGAGGAGAAAAAAAGAGTTGTTTCATTAATGTAACTTTGACGGGTGACGCACCCCAGGAGGGAGGGGGAGGAATCTGCCCGACAGAATATCATTTATCGTCGATCAGGATAAGCGTGTCCTTTACTCGGGCTTCAAGCGATGCCACTGCACGATGGTCTGCCTCGGCTTTGTGATCATGTCCTGCCAATGTTTCGTTTCGCTCGCGCCACTTCCATTTTTTCCTGCAAAGGAAGTTACGCTGTACATTGTACACCGGACTCCAATTTCAATCTGCTATTTGTTTCTATGACGTTTAATTACAACGGTTACTTGACTACACTGAAACGTTACTTTAACGCAAAAAAGACTTCGAATTTCAAACATTAAACATTTTTTAGGACAAAATGCAACTATTAAAATTTTGGGTAGTTCAGGTCAATCCAAAAGTGTGGCATGTCGTAATAAATGTGTTATGTACACTCTTTTTTAAAAGACACTAATGATAATCATGAAAAAATAAAATATTATTATATTCAAATTTGAACCTATTTTCACATACATGTGGTATTCAGAAATAGTAAAATCGAACAGAAAACTCTCGATATTTTGAAACGTATTATATTTAACTACCTCCGTCAATTATAATTAAAAAGTTTCAGAATTTTAATAATGCATTACTTTAAATATAAATTTATCGATAGAATTGAGGCACGGAAGTTTATATTTAAAGATACGTATTGGAAAGTTTAAAATACCTGCGAGCTGAATCCGACCGATCAGTTCGTTTCGTCCAATGTTGTCGAAATCCATCACCATTACATCCAAAGAGCATTCCCTGATTTTCTCCCAAGGTACATTAAAGGAGAATACCTCGTTAAATACAGGATTCAAGGTGCATTTGAAAATAGGAGTCTTGCGTTTCTCGATCCTCTTGTCACCAAACTGTAGCCATACCTTAACGTACGGATCTAGAATTGTAAATATTTAATTATCCATTCTATTTCTCATTCTCTCGACAGAAAGATGTAATAAAACGCGTCGTTGTGCAAGCAATGTTGTAATGCGATTTAAATCAAAAGAATATTATTAATACACACAGCAGAGAATATATTTTACATTTAAAAAAAAGTGTGTGTGTGTGTGTGTGTTTATGTTTCAAAATGCATAATTATGTAAATTCTTCAAAAATATTCATCGAATGCCTTGATTTACCATAATACCAAAGAATGCACGAACAATATAGTGAACGTAACATTACCTGATTTTCCGTTGATATCCTTAGCTTTGAGATTCCTCGCCTTCAAGAGAGTCAACGTCAATATGGAATTACTCGGATGATAGCACAGCGAGCACAAGAGTTCCCCACACTTATCTTTAGCCGGCGGCTTAAGAGCCTTCCAAAACGATGGTTTCTCAGATAGATCGACCTATAACAAACAAATCCGTGAGATATTGCTGATAATTAAAGTTTCGTAACAATTGTCGAACTAATTAACAAACCCAATTTCAAAAAAAAATATAGAATTTAACATAAAAACAAGAAGGATTATAACAAGGATTTCTCTATTATACAGGGTGTTTCCAAATTAAATCGCAAAACTTCGGGAGCGTGTAGAGGAGTAAAAAACTAAGAAAAAAAGTCCTATAGACATATGCTCGTTTTTGCTCCGTTTCAGAGAAATCGAAAAAAAATGTTTTTTTTACCTGCAAGATTAAATGGGGACCGTTTTCTAAATTTCTTGGAGAATGAATTTTCTGACTATTTAGAAAACATCCCATTACAACAACGTACTGAAATGTGGTTTCAATTAGATGGATGCCCTGCTCATTACAGCAGAGTCGCTAGAACCTGGTTAGATAGAAAATTCCCACAACGATGGATTGGACGTGGAGGAGCAGTACATTGGGCAACTCGTTCGCCCGACTTAACGCCATTAGATTTCTATGCATGGGGTACTCTGAAGCAAGAAGTTTATTCTTCGCCTATTCAATCAGAGCAACATTTGAGAAATCGTATCGTAGCTGCAGCGAACAGAATATCGCAAGAACAGTGCCTGGCTGCTACAAGAGCCGTGTTTGACAGATGCAATGCTTGTATTGCTGCAAGAGGTGCACATTTCGAACAAAATCTTCATTAAAAAGTTTATAAATAAAATAATTAAAATAATAAATTAAATATATTTTTTTCTTTTTTCGTGATTTCCTGCGAAACAAAGCAAAAAGGAGCATATGTCTATAGGACTTTTTTTCTTAGTTTTTTACTCCTCTACACGCTCCCGAAGTTTTGCCATTTAATTTGGAAACACCCTGTATATATGAGTATTAATAAACTTTAACTAATTTTCATTAATTCCGTAGCTAAACAACGTGCAGTATCATGAACATATTCAGAAATAATGAAATCAAAACAGAAACGAAAAGTTCTCCATGCAAGTGTGCCCTTCTCTGTCTTTCTTTCTCACTCTCTGCATATCTTTATTAAAAATTATACTCTTTAGGAGAGCATTTGCCATATTATCATTAATACGTTCGTCACGTTTGTCTGTTATTAGGGTGTACAGCGAACGCGAGATAATTAGTATTCTGCTCGGAGTGATCACGTGCAGACATAATAGTTAATTGATATCATATGTTGCAAATTACAAATGCAAAATTTTTACAGCATAAACATATCCTGAATTACATGAATATGTCACGCTTCACTTGATACAAATTGGTCATTTGGAGCTCGCTCTAGGGTCAGAACAATCGTTATTTAAACAAAAAGAAAATTATTTGTCCCAGATTATAACACATTATTACTACTGTTATTACAATTAATATATATGTTATTACTGTTAATAAATTGTTTTATTATAACGTTATGTATGTCATAAAATATTTTGTGTAATATTAACCTTTCCCGTATAACATATGTACAAAATATATATAATATTATATTAGAGGGTTTGCGGGTTATCACCGTGTCTTCTTTTATGGTCGAGGCCAACGTTTCGTGAACCATGCTGTTCACTTCATCAGGGCGAGGGATGTACTGATACTGATATATATGTATATATAATATTAATCTTTATATATACATATATATACATGTATACATATACTATGCGACAGCAGTGCGTGAGATTTGTGCAACGACCCATTCGCAATGCCGGCATATATCATGAATTGCTCCTGGGAAATGAATGTGTGCATAGGATAGAATTATCACACGCGCATGTCCTCCGGTGTTGTTCGCGCAGATTAATCCACTATAGATCCATCTTTGGCATATTGATATCAAGCAAGAATTATATTCATGTTATATATTATATTGTCATGTGATCTCCCGACACAATTAATAAATTAAAAACTATTTCTGTTCACGTAAAAAAATATTTGTTAAAAATTTGGCCGATTTTTTAAAAATATCTTCAAGAATTTATTTGCAAAAGAACTTAAATATATTGCAGATGAAATTATATATTTTTTTAATAAACTTCATAAACAAATTTATATACATTTTAAAGAAAAATTTGTTTTTATAATTTTTGATATATAAAATTTTTAAGAATACATTTTAAAACACATAAACGAATATCCAATATTCAAATAAATAAGATATTTTTGTATTATATTACAGTATATAAATATAATATATTTTAAAATAAAAATAATATTGTTATTTGAATGATATATTTAATAATGCTTTTATTATAATAGCCATTTAATGTCATTTAATGCCATTTAATTTAAATACACATATATACATACATCTGTATACGAGTATATTCGATGTCTACATCTAATTATTGTTTCTTTAAACATAATTATTCTAGAGTATTATTACAAATATTACAAATATACAATCTGTAATTTTACTTTATTTTATGATAAACTGATTGTTTTACTATTTTGTTACTAATAATTGTGTTAAAAATTCAAGCATTTGCTTGATGCATAATGCATTTTTCGAATCTTGTAAGTTTTTGTCTTAAACAGTTAATGCAGTGATTAATTCGTTCAAATAACAATTCTACGATAATGGATTTGTTCTTTAAACGGTAATTCCACGATGGCGGATCATAATTACAAGATAAGAGTTCGAAAGCCGATAGATGCAAAACGAGAGACGCGACATGTGCAACACGTCAGATTCCACTTATCCGTTGTGAATCCTATTCTCATAGCATGTGAATCCCTTAATCCGCATCTATCGCGTGTAATAATTGAACCGCACAAATTGCGAGCAGGCACGTCTCACCAAATTACCTGGCAAAGCGGCAGAAACATTTCCCCTATGGAATCATCCCTCGAGAATCGATCATAGTCGAAGACGTGTAGATGTAATACCCTGCTCTGCAACTTCTGTATAGGGAAACCTGAGAAGAGAACCGACATATAAATATGTATACTTTACTATATCACGATAACTTTGTTGACCAATCCAAATTTAATTACACTTTGTTTACACGATAAATGTTTTTTTTTATAATTTGTAAGCAGTCCATCTTTTGTAGATATTATCAAAATATTGCGTTGGCGTTGAACTAACATTTCGACGTAATTCCTCCTCCACGAAGAAAAATTAGATGCAAGAAAAAAAATTTACGTGTATTCCAATCTCGCAGATCTAATCTTAAGTAGAAGATTGTATCAGATTGCTTTGTTATTTTCAGATTGTTATAGTACGCTGCGGTTTCCTTAAACCGGCTTAACGCAATCAGATACAGTCGCTGTCGTATACCGCACTGCACGAACTAAAATTGCTTTGCATTTATTCCTTTCCCCGCGGTCCTTTATCTCTGGGGAAAAAGTTAGCGGACCAATGCGAGAAGCATTGCCAAACACGTGCGCTTACCTTCGAAATAGAACGTCTCGTTCCATCTCGGATTCAACGTGCGCCTTTTGATTTTTGTCTCGAGTCGGTGTTTCTTGTCCGGTAGCAGCGTTACACGTACGTACGGATCGGAAGTGCCTGACAAGTCCTTCGCCGGCAGATCTTTACCCTAAAGCAAATCGGATATCAGTATCAAAGGGTGAGAACGGAATTTTAACTCTCCGCGAACCAGGTGGGGTGTGACGTACTCCAGCAAGATGAATTTCTATAACTTCTTAAAAAGTGCCGCGCGCATGTTGCCGGTTTCGTGCAACTGGAGGGTGCGTTGTTACCAATTTGTTACCATACTAAATTATAGTTTATTTATGATGAAGTATAGCATGAGGTATGAGATATACTCACACATGATCCATGTTGATTTTCCACCTGGTTCGCGGAGGGTTAAAGAATAAGGAACTTCCTATCGTCCCTTAAGCTTCCCACGATTACGTGGAATATATACATTTTCATGTACTTTCGCGGTAAGTCCTCTTACGGAAAGTGAAGTTCGATGTAAATCTCTCTATACATACAACTCTACGTGAAGCCTGCATAATGTTATAAACAAAGCCGGATCTTCCACTCGATTATATGTACCTATGACAGCATAAAGTACCTAAAATTCTTTCAGACTTACGAATGAACAAACAGAAGAAGAAGGGATGCACGAAAAATACTGTCTTTAAAAAGATATGAAAGAAGACAGGAAAGTGATGACACTTGATCCGCTTTGAGTAATATGACTCGTAATATTTCAAAATAGAAAAAAAAAGAACATTTTATTCCATATACGCAGCGTACGTCAAAATGAAAATGTGCAGTATGTATGGCGTTGAAATCCGAAATCTTTATTCATATTTATATGCATAGCTGTTGTTTCGTTCAAAATGTAATAGAACATACGCATTTGTCTACCGAAAAAGATATACGTCTTTGTTTCCGTTGCATCTTACAAAGCTTTCATCTAAGTCTCTCAAACTTGTATGTGTAAGAGAATTTACAGAGTACGTGCAACAGTCTCTGTATGATAGAACTAGTATCGTCCTGAGACAGATTGTGAGCATGTGAGCAACCCTTGTGTGCGCAGCACAGTCGATACTGTTAATGGGAGCTAGACGGGAAACAAAATCAATAACCGCCTTTAACGGCCTTGATGGCCGCCTGTGTTTTGAAAAATAAGTCCTGCTTGAAAGTGCCCTCTTTCCAACTTTTCGCAATGGATCGTTTAAAAAGTCGCTCGTGGCCTTGAAAGCATTTACGCCGGAGGTGGCCGGTCATTTTTCATTTGGCTGTCAGACCGTTCCTCGGAACTCCATAACGTCATTATGCCGACTCAAATTTTTCGCGAAGAACGATTCCGTGCGATTTAAAGTATCGCAAAACTTTACAAACAAACTTCGAAATTACGACATGAAAGTTAAAAAAAAATGCTCATCTAACAAGAAAAGAATTCCCGCGCAAACATGATTGTGAAGGTGTTCTTCATTATTTATGGACCATTAAAGATAAATTACATTTTGCCGATTAAATCGTTAATCTCTTTATTTAATTCCAAGTTTTACGTAGTAAAACCCAATAAGTTTTACCCAAGAAAAACGTGAAATTTTGGCATATAAAATATTATTTGATGTCGATAATTGAAATGAAAATTAAAAGAAATAAAAGAAAAGATAGCATTCGGTTAAATTTCCGCTAAGGAAAAGTCGATTTCTCACAAATTGACAAAATTTCTAACTATATAACATATATGTAACTTCATGACACATGTATGCTTTACATGAGTATTTCTATACGAGAAATTTCTACCTTCGAGTTTACAAATCACGAAGATATTGAACGTGAATCGAATAAACGCGATGTCTTTGGTGAACGCTTGGTTGAACATTTCGAGGTGTCGCGACAAATTTTCACGCTACTAAAGACACGAGAGAGCTCGCGAAAATAGGAATCTTTAAGGTCGGAAGCATGTTTCCGTTTTCTTCGGAGGTACATTCCGGGTCATTTATGATGCGCATTAGCCACGAAAAATACATTTTGGACGAAATTAACCGAATAGTCTGGAAAAACAAAGATATACCTCGTGAAAATCATGTCGTGCTCGCGTCAAATTTCGCTAGAATTAACGAGATAATGTAAAAAATAAAAACAACCACATTTTAAATAATTTTACAGATGTAATTTGACGCGCTGTTAGAAATATATACAATAAAAAACAAATTGTATTGCAGCAGAGTACTCTATTAAATAATTCAACAAACGATTAAATATTCGCTAAGGAAAAGAGGTCGGATGCAAATTAAGTGAGAAATAAAATTTTTACCGGCATACTTCTTTGATAAACTACGCGATAATGCTACGCGCAATTTCATTATAATTTTTTTTCATTAAAAGTGGCATATAGTTGTATCCTCGTGGCATGAAGAAATTAATATTACATTTTTGTAATAGTAACGTAATTTCACATGTCTCTACGGAATGAAAAATAATTACATGTTAAAGCTTCAGGCAACGCATTAACATAAAATTTGTGTGCACCAATGCATATCGATATGATCACGTAAACGATGCACTTTGTACTTAGAAAGATGTTCTCCAACTACCGAGATCTTGGCACGATAATTTTCACCGAGGAAAACAAAGAAAGCGATGCCCGAGTGTTTCGCTTAATGTCAAGTTAAATCGCGTGAGGCGAAAACGGTTCAGCGTTTGGAAAGAATTTATGCGTTCCCCCCCCCCCCCCCCGAGATTGTCGACGAGTTTCAAAGTCCCCCTTTCCCTCTGTCGCACTGTAACAGGAAGTAATGTATGACGTCCCAGTTTACCAGGATACATATTTTCGCTCACGTACAGATACATTTTTCGGCGTGGCAACGCGTGTCCCATGTTGACGATTTATAACAGCCCTTATCGACGTGGCCGTAGCGTAGCAAAACCAAAAATCAAGCTAATGGGCCCATCTACATCCCGGTTTTACGTTTCCACAGCCTGTGTCGGAACACAACTGTCGACAGAAATGCGCATATCAATTTATTTACGTAATTTGTTTACGTAACACACGTTATATACGCGGAGTGGCTCGAGAAAACCACTTTATATTTATTTCTAAATATTTTTGTTCCGTACTTATCGAACTCTCAATGCGGACGCCATCGAACGAGGTAAACAGTCGATTTACCCGCGTCGGCAATAAGAATTTATTAAATTTCGATTTTATTAATATTCACGTAGTCTAAAAGTCTGCGATCCGAGAATATAAAAAAGGTAATAAAACGAAACAACCATTTTTATTTCTTTATATAACCACTTTTTATTTCAATACGTTTTTCAAAATAAACTAAATTTTTTTATACTGCTGAAAAAAAATATTCTGAATTTTTGTCCTTAAAACGGTTCAACACTGCAGAGATCACTTCTTCATCACTACTAAACTTTTTTCCATGTAAATCGGACTTCAATTGTGAAAATAAAACATAGTTTTGATAATAAAAAATAATTTTCAAAATTAAAATCCGATTTGCACGAAAATAAATTTATCAGTGATAAAATGACACCTACATTGTTATAAACCGTTTTAAAAACAAAAATTCACAATATTTTTTAGTGATATAGAAAAATGGATATAACGGATTAAGATAAAGGATGATTATATTAAATTATATATATAAATGAATATTTTTCATTTTATCAGCTTTTTTCTATTCTTAAACTGGAAACTTTTTGATCTTACTATGTATATTACGTCTCCTTATATTTTACATAAAATTGCATCAGCATGATGTATTATTACGATCCCCTACTGGAATGTAGCGATACTCCAATCGCCTGCGATCGACGAGTGCATCATACGCAAACAAGGCGATATCGAAGCAAACGGCATGTTTCAAAGAGCTAAGTTCCAAGAGAAAACACATCCATGTACTTCGACTGACCTGTATGATGCGCAGAATGAGAGTACTGTTCTGGAAATCGTACTCGAGACTGAAGTGGATCTGGCCAACATTCTCGCTCGGTTCCGAATTATCAATGTACATGTCGACCAAGGAGATGGACCTGCTCTGTAGAAATGCTTTCTGAAACACACAGATCGCCAATGCTATTATTACTATCGCTTCCTTTCTGTTTCGTAAAAGATTCTCGGAATTGTTATCAAAATATATTTTGCTAGGAAGAATATACGTACAGTTAGAGAGAGAGAGATAATTTGTACTAAAATGTAATCTTCTTAAAATCGTATTACAAGAAAAAGGTCTGAGATAGAAAGAATTAACTTTCGTTAAATATCACGTTTGTCTCCAACACGTGAAAATTTACTGTCTCTGTATCAAACTGCAGGGTGTACAACTTAATTATATCGCAAGAACATAAATGCATTTTGTTGTAATTACAGATCAGTTTTTACGTTAAACAAAATTGTGTCGCTTATACGTTATTGCAATTAGTTTCAATTTTACTTTTAGAACGCAACATCGTGACAATCTCCAATTATATATAGAGTTAATAGCAATTGCATTTTGATGATTACTGTTCTAGCTTTGAAAAATAATAGTCCTTTATATATTTTAGATAATTATAATCTATGTTTAAATTACAATCTCTCTAAAAATTTCTAATCCAAAGCTATAAAAAAGTAATAAAATGAAACATTTTTATTTTTCAATATAATTACGTTTTATTTCAACACATTTTTCAGAACGATGAATAAATTTTTCTGTACCTTTTTCATTACTGATAAATTTTTTCCATGAGAATTAAACTTCAATTTTAAAAATAAAAAAATAATCACTAGAGAGAGGATAAAATAAGTGATGAAGAAGTAATCTCTGCAATGTTAAACTATTTTAAGGACAAAAATTTTTAATATTTTTTGGTGATATAGAAAGATGAATTCATCGTTCTAAAAAATGTATTGAAATAAAAAGTAATTACGTCAAACAATTTTAAAATAGTTGTTTCAGTTTATAATCTTTTTTATATCCTTGAACCAGAAACTTTTAAACCTTGTTATATATACTATAACTCGCGTTAAAATTTTAGACAGGCTCTTATTTATAATTTTATGTACCGTATAATGCAAAGTACATTTTTCACAAAAAAAATTTTAAATTACGAGAAATATATATAAAAATAGATATATACGGTATATATTATAATACACATATACAATATACAAAGTTACAAATAGAATTTCATGACAATCACACCGGAAATCTGCAGAAGTGGCAAATTATAAATTGTACGAGGTGAGCTTTGCGGTGGTCTTCGAGATTACCTCGTTATCATAATTGATATCCGCGTTATCGCGTCGAAAATCAAGATAAACTTTAGAAGGCTTACCGAGGGATGTTCTCCTTTGACATTCTGCAGTTGCTTGTTCTGTGGCCCGGTGGTTGGTGTACGGGGTTCCACACTTCCGGCATTGCTGGCGCCGCTTCCTGGTGCCGCTGTTGCTCCTGCTACACCGCCCGCGGGACCGCCGCTACCACCTGCCGGAGATTTGCTAGAGGGACTACCGGTCGTCCTGGAAAAAAAAAGGCACGAATTCATCACATTATATCACCCACGTGCGTGTTCACTTTCGATGTAGCAATTTTTTTCTTTTTTCCTCTTCTCGTCTCCCCTGTCACTTTTAAACAGAACAGTGTCATCGCAGGATCATCTGGGACAGCGCTGAAGAGATACCAAAGCGATATTTGACAATGTTTATTCGTTTTATTACTCTTCAAAGTCTAATTATTGTCACTAAAAAGTCTTATAATTGGACATCGGATTTTTAACAGATATTTTTTGCAGCATGCACAAAATATGCAAATTTGCACAAATATGCAAATATGCACAATATGCACAAATAAATATACATTTTTAGAAAGCTTTTTTAATGAGACAAATTTCTATTTTTATGTTACTTTCCAATCTGCTTTCTAAAAAAATATGAAATTACAAGAATCCGATGTCTATCTACAATTTTAAACGTAGCTTGTCTTTTAATGTATCATTTTTTACGTAATTACCAGAAAAAGTCAGTTTTCATACTCGTCTTGCATTATTTTTCGTTTCTTTTTTTTTTTATAAAATTCCTTTTAAGATATCGATCTGATCTCTACAAACAGATATTTCAGCTTTTATACACACCATGATTTGTTTTATTACGTTGTATTATAATTTCATATACTTTAAGAATTAAATATTTAATCAAATTAAATATCCAATTGATTAATCCAGAATTACAAAGCGTGGAAATTGCGCGATTGTTCAATTTCGATCAATGCAAACTGCACATTTGTACAATTAAATCTGTCGCCCACAATTGCTTCTGACAATTACCCGCCGTGTTTTATTTTACATACAATCAAATTAATAATATGAAAGTCTAACGAGATAAATATTGTCATTGTGGCGGAGTTAACGCTTTAGAAATGCCTAATTGATTCGAAACTTGTTGACAATAAGGGGGAATAGGGTTCTTGTTGGCTCCCTTCTCCCCTTGTGATGCATGCACAGGCTTATCAACAGTGGCATACATACATCCCAGCGATACGTTTCTGTAATGTACGTTAGGTATAATAGGCGACCTAGGATCTAGATAAATCTTATCGCTCCGACACTACTGTGTCGCATCTATTGCGAGCACACTATGCTGCTAATCGAGACAGCATTCTCTCGCAGGCACGCAAGCCGATACGCTTCCAGCATGTCATCGGCTTATTAATAGTTGCTGTTTACCAGTCGCAACTGCGGAGCGTCCATAACTGTGCAGAAACGGCTGAAGCCACGGCAGGAAAAAAATAAATTTACTGCATGAACATTATTAAGAAAAAAAAAAAAAAAAACGGAAGGAAAAAAATCGATGCGAGTATGCAGGCTTAGAATGCTCGATACGGAGCTAATGATTTTGTCTGTTCTACAAAAGGGTAAAAAAAGAATAATCGCAAGTCTGATAAAACAAAAAGGAAAGTAATTACGTCATCTAGTAATATGGAGATGCTCTTATTAGATAAGTATACACATCGAAGTATACAGGTTGTACGTAAGGTGCGTTCAAGCTCCGTGAATGTATAAATCACGCAAGGCATTGAAGAATAACTATTATACGTACCTATGCAAGTTAATATAGGTATATTGATATAAATCATATATCAAATTCCGAGATGAAACGAGTAAAAATTATTCTGTTAATTAATCGATGATATAACAAATGCGTTGTATGTTCGTTAATATTATACTAATTAAATTTGTTATACCCGTAGCATTCGCATGCTTTTCTATATAAGCTCCAATTTGTGCAGATACACATTTATTATAAATAATCTGCAAATCTATTACATCGTTTGCCGACGTAACCGATATCCATGTCGTTCGTACAAAATGCAAAAATGCAGTCCCGTGCTTTTTACGTATCTCGCAGAAATCAACGTCATTGAACAGTAACATCCATCTCTCGCTTCGTATATGAAAGGGAAAAATACACATTCGCATAAATTCTTTTTATCCGATTAAAGCTCTCATGCACAGCAGATATATTTTACCGGATCGGTGAGTTCCCTTATTTACCGCGATTCTCTATTCATAACTCATAAATAAGAATGAGAAAAAAATCCACGTGAACGGAGAATATCTCCGATATATAGGAAAGTGCATCGTGCAACACTTGCGATAACAGTCGACATAAATTTAGATGACCGTCGTGGCGTATCAAAACGATTGATTAAAAAAATTCGACTTCGCGCAAGATTGGTTTCACATTTTCCTAAATGTTATAACTGCAAAAAAAAACTACATTTCAGCGGAAAATACATTCAGACAAACTACGAAAATTTTGCTAATATTGACGAAATACTTTTCAATTCGCTCTATACCGCTGGGTAATACCTGTCGAGTGTTTAAACAGACCTCTATGAAAATTAATGCTCTGCCGCGGCTTTATATTCCGATATGAGTTCGGTAAGATGATACACGTATTGGATTTACGAAAAATTAAATAAAAGAAATACTAAAAAATATTGGAACACAATTCCTGCAAAACTAATTTTCTCATTTCGTTTTACACATTTAATTAAAATACATATTAGCGCGTAATTGTCTCGTTCAATAATAAAATCAAACAAATCATCAAACTATAATTAAACTTGGTAATTATTACCGCGTTATTATTTTCAATCTAATGGAATATTCAAAAATATTAAAAATATAATATTAATAATATTAAAAGATCAAAAAGACATAACGATTCCCAATTTAGTTTCAAAATGGCTAAAAGTCCAACATTAAAAACATAATATAGCAGAAATAAAATAATACTACAAATATTACGAAATTTTATATCGCAGACATTCTCGTATTTTAAAATACGACTTTGTATTTAAAATTTCGGTTTTATCGATAATTGCAATTTCTGATTCATCGTTAATTGCTCGATATTGTTCCAATATTACGGCCAATTCTCAACAACTACGCCATGGACGATAATTACCGTAAGACGTCGGCCCGCCTCATCAATATACCTCTGGGTAAACAGGAAACTTGAGCATACAAATTTGCCTCGATACCGCTTCATAAACCGTTCGGATGCTTGTGTCGGCGCACGAGAGAATTTCGGACCTGTAATTCGAACTAACGCGGCAAGCAAACGCGACATTTAAGCGCATTTGCAAAAGGTTAAGGGCGTACAATAGGTAAATCGTGCCCGGGCGATAACGGAAACGCCTGCGACACATTGTTTTCAGCCGTGGCTCGACAACGCGTAACTAGAAACCGTACAGGATTCAACCGGTGCCGAGCGGATGCACAGCTAGAGAGGCTCATTGTATTCAGCTCGAGTGAATGGCGACCGCGCACTCGCGGAACTAAGTTTTATGAGAATAGTGTAGCAGAAGTTTCACCGCGGCGTGTACTCATATTTATCAGAACTTCTGCCGCGTATAAATAGCATAATGCGCGAACTTGTATTCAAAAATTCTAAGTCTAAGAGAGACTAACGCGTAATGAGATAATCGCGTTAAATCAACGTCTGGAAAATTAACGTCGACGGAAATCAAATTTCCCTCTATCGTAATTAATTTCGTCTCAGATTACTTAATCCTAAAATAACAGTATGGAATCATTATAGCGAATTCTTTTTGAGATTTTTTTAGATCTTTTTTACTTCGTCTAATTGTAAGTGAGATTTTATACTGGTTATTACGATTAATCTTATTCGTACATGCAACGTCTTCCTTTTTTTCTAAACTAGTGAAACATACAATCGAGTGATGTTGACTCGAATTAATATTAAAAAATATCGAAAAATTGTATATCCATGTAATGCTAACAGCGAACGTTTGTGTTGTAAATGCTGTTAGTCCGACGTCGCTGGCCGTGTAAACAAGATCTTTTGTATCTATTCGATAGCAGGCGTGTATCAACGTGTGTATTTGTGCAGGCGAACAATAACAGTGCGGTTCCAGAGTATAAAGAATAAGATAAATCCAGTGATGATCCGCGCGCGCGCGAACGCCGATCGAACTGGACATCCTCGAGCAGAAAGCACTATCACTACTAATGGTATACTGTGAGAAATACTTGACAGTACAGTAGCAGACAGGCATAGAAGACAGTAGTTCGAAAAGTAGAGACTGTGGAGTTTGTCGTGAACACAAACGCCGACTACAGACAAGACAAACAACGTCGCGTAGTAGTCATCGATGCTCATCGATGGGCAAGACAAAAGAAGCTGAACGAGCTTCTTCGACGAAGTAGAACTACTTACACAGTTAAAATAGTTTTTTTCGGAAGAGAAGAAAAAAAGAGAAGAGATAAATGAAGCGCAGCATAGAACAATGAATCGTTTATTAAAAGTGTCGCATTTTATTTCGCACAGAGGTCGTTCATACTTACTCTAATTGCGCTCTGCGGTTCCGATCGCATTACAGTGAAACGAGGCATGAAACAGAAAAAGATCAGTGATTAATTAATTAACTGGACACACGTATACACACAGGCACGTACACGCCGCACGACGAATGAACGATACAGTTTGTGACATCGGACAGAGGAGGGTAAAGGAGCATCGCACCAATTTGGAGAGACAACACACAACATTAAAAACGTCGTAAAAAATATCTCTTACAATTTCAAGTTACGAACGAAGAGAATCACAAAGAAGAAAAGAAAAAAATGCGTGCACTGACACGTTCAAGGACAGTTCTCGACATGGGGAATCCGTGAATTGTAAGTCTCAACAACTTACAGACAATGCGATAGTGAGAAACATCGTCGAGTAAACGCTGCAGCAAATTGTAGTTAACGAAGCGATAATATCTTCAAACGTTAACCCGGGCACAAAGAAGTTTCAATACCCAGAATGCTCGGAGTTAATTGCCGTCTCTCTCGTTAAAAATGGAAACTTAAGTAGAAAGAAAGGGATTCGTAATAATTTTATTAAGTTAGGTACGGCCGTATATTTCCATCTTCTTAATTGCGCGACGTAAAATTACTGCTCAAGTTGCTACTTTGTAGGAGTTGTCAGTGGATAGTCTGTAAATAATAGTGTCGACCATCGATAATAATTACATCAATTATTTCAAAATCCATTTTCATCATCTTGAGCCTTTCAGCTTAGGGAGTATAAAGTTTAATCAAACTCCTACGAGTACGTATATATATAACTTTGCACATGATGTGGTCAGTCAGAAATTATACCATTTATATGTAATGGTTAATATAGTGACAATTAAAAGGGAATATCTCGTATCAATATCATATTATTCATTTATTAATATGAAATTATTACCTTTTTAGAAAAAGAATAATGTATCATATAGAGCATATTTTAATGAGTCTGTTATAAGCTGCTATTGTTTATTATATTATCATAGTTATTAATAATATTAATTTCAGATTTATTTAAATCTCTTCAAAATCCAATAAAAATATGTGATGTCATACAGCGATATAATTAGTAAAATTACAAACAGGTTCAAAGAGAGGAAACGATTAAAAAAAGAAGCTTTCAATTTTTTTTTAACAAGAATATATTGTTATTTTTTCGTATTATACGTCCGTGTATCGATTAGGTAGGGCCATTAATTCGTTTCTTATTAAAGTATATTATCCTTTATGACCACAACCGCGGAACGCCTATCGATATTCAATAGCCACATTTGACTTCGCATTATTGTGGAATTATACCATACGTACATATATATGTGTGTGCATATGTTTGTTAGGAATTCAGTAACTCTGAAACGAAAATAGATACATGTACTGATAAATGAACAACACTCTATGGGATACAATATGCGATCTCGCAGATGATATCGTGGAAGTTTTGATATTAAATCAGCCACACAGCAACGTTTCGCTCGGTTCGCATTACATAAAAATTAGAGATTCGCGTATACATGAAGAAATCGATATATGTACTCGATATAGTACTATTTATGTGTGTGCGTGTGTTTTAGGTAACAAATTTTCAGAATGAACTATTTACGTAGCCGTTTTTATTCCAACGTATCGACACCTCGATCTGATATACCATATATCTTCAAGATTTATAAATTTGTATAGAGAGATTTTATAAAATCCACAAAATTAAATAAATTTCACGTCAAAGATTTTGCAATTTGAAATTGCAATTCAAACTCTGGAATCTCAAATCAAAACTTACGCGATATTTGCCAGATTAATAATTTTTGGAAAAAAATAGATATAAAGGGTGTCTCTAAATTTCCGCATACGAAATACAAGACGTGATACTTTATGTTAAAACAAACAACTTTTTCCTTTAACAAAATTGCGCCCAATAAATAATTTTTGTGTTTATTTATATAACTTCAATCTGCTCTCTCCTGTAAAAACTATTTATCGAACGCAATTTTGCTAAAGGGAAAAGTTATTTTTGTGCTAAAACGAACAACTTTTTCCGGTAGTAAAATTACATTTGATAAATAATTTTTACGTTTATTTATATAACTTCAACTTGTTTTCCTGCAAAAATTACTAGTCGGACGCAATTTTGTTACAGGAAAAGATTGTTTGTTTAAAGTATCACGTCTTGTACGTATGCGGGAACTTAGAGACACCCTATATATACATAAGGAGAAAAAAATTATATACTAAACCATCAAATCCGTTGGGACATTTGAGTTCCACATTATGAAGATACATTTTACTGCCTCTTTCTCTTTCGGATTACAATTATTATTTTAATGTTATATGCAAGATTATTACAATTATAAAAGAACGGCTTTTCTCTTGTCTAAATTCCTTTAATCGGTTGCTTCAGGCTCATTTGTGCATTGTTTGTTACGTGTTGAAACTTGTTGCAAGGAATTAGTGTCATATACTTAACACATACAATAAACTTATCTTTAAACTAATCACATTACTTTTATTAATTTTTTCAAATTTTAAAATACCTTGTTTTTAAATTAGAGTTTATTATATATAAAAAAAAGATGTTCCTTTCATGCATCGAACGTTTTCTCTTGTCTAAAATGTACCAGAAATGCAGCGAATATAATATAAAAAAATTAATATACTTAAGTAAAATAATGAAACTTGTGCGAAGAATAAAAATAATAATGTACGATCATCTCGTGTATGAAACATTAAAGTGGCTCATATTGTTCCGTTAGATATCCACAATATGATGTTTCAAGAATTAATAACGTTGCGTGTAGTACACACTACACACACTCGTACATTCTACAGGTTAATCGATAAAGTTACTAAGTAGAGTACAATATAAGAACGAAAATGGCGCGCATACGCCGCCACTCTTTTATCACACTCGATTTAATTCGATGTGAAAAACGAACATCGAACGCGTATTGTAAAACATACAAAAAAAACTAAATTAATAAAAAATGGATAATTAATTAGGTATACGATGACTGCTGTAGTTTTAACTTTATTAATTAGTGAAATTCTACGTTATAATTTTTATTTTAAAATCTACAATCAAGATCGATTCGTCATGTTTTGTACCGGAAAAAAATTATATATTAATTTTTGCTAAAAAAACATCTTCAGGAAGCTTCGTAGAATGAAATTATTTTAGAAACTAATTAACCTTAAATTATCAAGATAAGTTGAAGCAGAAATTTTTGTGTTTGCAGACTCTACATCGAGTTCTACATCAAGCATTTAATTCGAGTAAAGTAATCTTAGAGAAATTTATTAAGTTGGAAATATTAAACCAACGATGATAAGAGAACGTCGTAGAATAGAACTTTAATAAGATCACAGAAAAGATCTAAGGAAAACTAAATCCCTTCATCTTAATCATAAAAAAGAATAAAAAACAAAATTATCGATAATATTATCATCGATAAGCATCTCCTTATATGTCTTATATCTTTTATATATATATATATATATATATTGAAGATTTCTTATATTTCTTAAATTATAATTTTCTCGTATATTAAATTTAGTAAAATTCAATCCAATAAAGTTCGATAAAAAAGGTAAATTAAATTTTTGTAGGTTTTCTGTTTCATGCTTTTAATTAATATAAGAAAGATTTAATAAACAACCGTTTCGCTTTTGATTCGCTATTTAATGTAATTTCGAGTTGTCAATTTCAATTTGCCACATCACCTGTTCGTTATGCCTTAACGTATTTCGACGACAATACGTGATTAATTTAACGGCGTTATCAGTACGTGCGTGTGTACCCAATCTGTTGCCGAATCGTGAACATACCGGCAATGTTACCTTAGCATTTCAATTACATTGCTGAAATGCTGCTACAAAAAAATGTCACGCTATTCCAAAAGCATTCTTTAAATATCTACTGCAACGTTAGAACTTGAAATAGAAAAACCGTAAATTTTATCACATAGATATTTGTTCACAATAAAATCAATTTATTAAGAGTCAATATAGAAACGTAGGAGAATATTTTGGAAATTATAACTCTCTAATTTGAACTTCTTATTTTGAAATTCTGAAAGACTTGAACTTGAAAAAACATATTTTTTCTAATTACGACATTGCGTCTCTTTAAAGAAAATAAATTCTTCTTATCATACTATAACATATCACCAATAAAATAAAAATATTTTATATCAGGGTTGATAAAAATCATGTTTTAAATATGTTTTAAACTGTTTAAAATATGCTCAATCGATGCTTTTAATATATTTTATTAAATATGTTTTTTTAATGATACTGTTTAAAAGTTTAAAGCATGTATGAAGCATTAAAAATATATTTCAAAAACACAGATAATGTTTTGTTCTTTAAAAGAAAAATCTTTTCTCAAGCCTGTTTTTATATGATGAGAAATGAAGATAAATCGTAACATAAGTCACAAGTATCATTTTATTTAAAAATCACACTAGTCTTATCTTGCCAACGACTCTTTCATGAAATATACGATATATTACGGCGATCATTCCAATAAATAAAAAATATTATGTCAACTGAGAGTGCAAATGGCACGGATTTGCAAGTTTTCTTGTTTTATATTAGATCGAGAACGTTACGACGCTTGGCAAAAGAGCAGAAATTGTTCCTGTCGTCGCAAAAAGGCACTGAAAATACTGGAAACGGGAGCGACGGCTTGCCATTTCGCGATGCTTCTCCGAGTGTCACGAGGACGATTCAACTGCTCGCCTCGAATATTTTTAAATCGAGGATGGCTACCGAGAGAGATAGATCCCGATGGATATTCCGAAATTGTTCGCGCTCAATGGGACGTCTTTGAGGACCATCAATGTGTAGAGTACTTTCTCACGCTGATACACAGCATTCTTGCGGCCCTTAACCCTATTGCTGCGTTTTTCTAAAGCTCTAAAACTGTCACGTTGACGCAGAAAGTATGAAAGACGCTGAAAGAGCTTTTATGCATCTTTTCTGCGCGACACTATTTCACTGTGTTTATGTCCGAGAAATCGTTC